GGCTCTTTCCTGTTGGAGCGTCAGATGTAGCCGCGCTGGGAGATGCAAAGAACTGGAAAGCGCATACCATCTACACGAACTTGGAAGGCCTTCTCGATCACCCAGAGGCGACTGGACCCCGTCGCGACCACACGCCCAGTCACGGCTTATGGGAGAATCTCCGTCGAAAGGAACTGGAGTGCGAAGGTGAGGAAGGGAAGCCGGTTGTTCTCGTCGTCGGTGCAGGTCAGAGTGGGTTGGGAATCGCAGCACGTCTGAAGGCTCTTGGCCTCAAATCTCTGCTCATCGAACAGAATGAGCGAGTGGGTGACAACTGGAGGAATCGTTACGAGGCTCTGTGTTTGCACGATCCTGTGTGGTATGACCATATGCCGTACCTTCCGTGAGTGAGCAAGTCGCCTTTCTAGCAACGGTGCTGACTGCAGATTACCAGATTCCCTCCCAACTGGCCAGTCTACTCTCCCTCTGTGAAACTCGCTAACTGGCTCGAGCACTATGCGGACATTATGGAGCTCAACATCTGGCTTTCGTCAAAGATTACTTCTATCTCTCAGGACCCAGAAAGTGGAAAATGGGATGTGACGGTTGTGAGGAAAGTACAGACGGCTGATGGTGAGCTATGTTATTTAACCGCAAGTCTTGTTGCGGGAATAACAGAGTTTCAGGCCTTGTAGAACAGACGCGTCAGTTTTCCGGCATTCATCATCTGGTTATGGCCACTGGTCTGGGTAGTGGCGTCCCAGAGGTGCCCTCGATCTCTGGTACGAGGCCAACCTTTTCATTCCGTTATCAACCCCTAACTGGGAAATAGGAATGGAAACGTTTAAGGCGAACGGAGGAATCGTCCTTCACTCCACCGAACATAAGCGAGCTGCAGATCATAAAGGCAAGAAGGTTGTCGTCGTAGGCGCTTGCACCAGTGCACATGATATCGCTGCTGACTACTGCCTTAACGGCGTCGGTAAGTTACGCTATTCTTGCATTTCCAGAGTTATCGATTGAGCTTATGAAACAGATGTAACGATGTTCCAACGCTCCTCGACCTACATCATGTCCGTCGAGAATGGTTGGAAGGTCTTGTTCGACGGCCTTTACGATGAGAGTGCTCCTCCTGTCGATATCGCGGACAGGCTCTCCGCTTCATTCCCTCACTGGTCCTTGATACCACTTACGAAGATGCAGGTTGCCCATGTTGCGCAGCTCGACAAGTGAGTAGTATGTTCTGTTGAGCGCTGCCTTCCTGGGTGTTGACAAGTTATTTAGGGAACTCTTAGACGGACTACACAAAGTTGGCTTCAGGACGAATCTTGGTTACATGGACACTGGGTTCAGCCTATTGGCATGGGGCCGAGCAGGAGGTTACTACCTTGGTACGCGCTCTCTCCATCGCTACCTCTCTACCACTTCTAGCTTACCTTTGGATTCAGATACCGGCGCTTCAGGTCTCATATCAGAGGGCAAGATCAAGCTCAAGAACGATAGTCAGATCAAAGAGTTTACGGAGCGAGGATTGAAATTCGACAACGGTTCCGAGCTCGAAGCCGATGTGGTGCTCTTTGCAACCGGGTACGCTGCTCTTTGCCACTCTCGTCGTCCCACTGATCTCATTTGAACGTAGATTCGGGGATGCTTCGAAGCGGATTCGTCGTCTTGTTGGAGACGAAATTGCGAGGCAGTGTACGGGGCTGTGGGGCTTCAACGAGGAAGGTGAGCTCTTGGGCGCTTGGAGGGACCTGGGAATCAAGAGGTTCTGGTATATGATTGGTAATTCCACCGCTCTTTTGAATCCCCCACTGCTGATAGGTCGCATAGGCAACCTGGCACTCTGCCGATTTCACTCCAAGCATATTGCTCTGCGTACGTCGTTTGTTTCTATCATCAGAGAGCACCAAGCCTCATAACTTTTCACAGAAATCAAAGCCATCGAAGAAGGATTGTTTAATGGGTCTCGCTATACGGCTTAAAAACGCATTTGGGCTGTAAAGCGAATAATAATCAACATAAAAGTGTCAGACTCTCGTCGCCGTGTAGTTCTGCAAAGCGACATGCCCATCCATTCCCCGACTTTCCGTCGAGCGGGTCATATCATAAAGGGATACACTGGCATTCCGCGCAGTCCAAGAGCGTGCCAGGTAGGCAACCTAGAGCGCAACAGGTTATTGTCGGCTGCGGGGCTGTCGATGTCGCTGGAGGCCAGGGGATAACTGTGATTGTCGACGTGGGCCAGGGAATATCTGTGGGGGTAGGGACAACGACCGTCGTCAGAGGTAGGCCAGGCGGCACTGGGTTGGCCCCGACGATGGTCAACGCTGAGAGGAGCGTAAGCCCGGCGAGGAAGGCGGTCTTCATATCTGGGACAACGACCATGCGTCAGTCACTGGCGTGCTCGGGACGGTTGACATGGGCAAGCACCTTGTGGAAAGAATGGGTCTTGTTCTTCTCTGGCTACTTAATTCACATTGTCAAGGCTTATATACCTGGTTGGCTATCCCGATGGAGAGAGAGAAGCTGGAAACTCATACAGGTCCCTGGGGTTGGCGCTGGTCGGCTGTCACGGCAGCCCGCAAAGGTTCTCCTCGGCATATATAAAACAATACCAAGCGGCCTCGACTTACTGAAACGCCCAATGGGAAGCCACTCGCCGAGATTCCAAGTGCCCGTGGTTGGTGCAATCGTGATAATATCATGCCTAAGTTCCCAGTGTTTGACCCCATGATAGGTACCCTCAACAAGATAATAGCCCTTCAAGTAACTTTTTTTGATTAATATCATCGTTGAGTCTTGACGCCAAAATCTCATCTGTACATGCAGTAGAGCGTCTTCGTTGGCGCGCTCAAATGTAGTGCTTCAGGTCTTCCCGGATTCGCCACAAACTTATTCAGTGATGGGTAAAAGTTGGGACGAAAGAAAGATTATTCGACGGGGCTCGCTGGATGGCTTGATGGCACATTCAAGGGGTAAAACTGTGATATTCATCGTTTGTCTGGGAATACGTCCTTTGCGAGAGGGAGCAGAACCCACGCGACGCGACATGCCCAGGCATGCCCCAACGTCAATCATAGTATACTAGAAAGGAACGTAGACGCATTTGCATTTCGCGCAATCCAAGACCGTGTCAGGTGGACAGCCCAAAGCGCAACAGGTTATCGTCGGCTGTGGGACTGTCGACGTTACTGGCCCGGGAGTAACTGTTACTACTGTCTTGGTAACAGTGACGGGGCAAGATGGCTCGACGGGAGGAGGCACCAGGATCGTCGTCAGAGGGGGCCAGGCGGTACTGGGCTGGCGCTGACGGTGGTCGACGCCAAGAGGAGCGTGAATATGGCGAGAAAGGTGATCTCCATGGTCCTGGATAATGATCACAAGTCAGTCACGCTCGGGACTGAGAAGGATTGACAGGGATAAATACCTTGTGGAAAGGATGGGACTTGCTTCTCCCTGACTGCTTAATCCGCATTGTCGAGACTTATATACAGTATTCAAGGCTCTCCCATGATCGAGTCCAAGAAGTTGTCAAATCCCGCAGGTTCCTGGGGGTCGGCGGTCACGGCAGCCCGCGAGGGTTCTTCTTCGCATACATAAAACCAATACCAAGCGGCCTTGACGCTCAATGGGAAGTCATCCGCCGAGATTCCAAGTACCCATAGTTGATGAAATTCCAGATGGTTGATCCCATGACAAGTACTCTCAGTACGATAGAAGCGCTGGTTTGATGAATAGCCCGGTATCACCCTTGAGCTGAAATATTGTCGGTACATAACAGTAGTAAAGCATGTGAACACAGCGCGCTCGAATGCAGCCCATGCATTCCCTTCTTCGCCACCCATGATTCAGTGGTGGGTAAACGTTGGGGCGATGCTGGTGGTGGGAGGAACACATGTACAAGGGCAGACGAATGTATAACCACTGGGGCAAGCAATGGGGCAAGCAATGCTGCAGATGGAGGTTGTAGTGGGCTTGGGTGTCGTAGAGGTTGCTGAAGGTTTCGAGGTAGTCAAAGAGGCAGTGACTGTTGCTGTGACAGTAACCGTCTTGGTGCAGGACGGACCTCCAGGCAGAGAGACAGTTAGGGACGGAAATGGTGGCTCTGGCGCTGTACTTCCCCCAGTCCAAACGGGGTTGGCATCGGTGAACGAGAGTAGTGACAGGACAACCGATGCGAAGATGGTTGAGGACCTCATACCTGACGTAGTTAGTCCCTTTTCTTCAAGGCTGCAAGAGGTGTATTTACCGTGCGGAGAGGGCAGCTATGGCTAATGCGAGGAAGAGAAGTTGATGCTGCTTTTATATGCACGTCAATCGGGTACGGTTGGCTACTGGGATTTAAGAGGTCGCCAAGTTGGGGGATCCGCTCCTCGCTGTGACATATCCACGAAGACGGGAGTTTCTCGTCAAAATCAGTCAAAGGTCCGAGTGCTTCTTGACAGGGGAACGTGAGCGTTTCCCCTTGCTCGAAAAGAATTTTAAATTGAAACCCAGGCTTCCTCCGTATTGTCCGTTCTCAGCGTTCGGCACACTGTAAAGCCTGACATCCCTCGTTTGAATGGCAGGATTCTCCGAGGCTGGCTATTGATAATTTATTCTGCCGCAAATCTTCGCCTGTACATCCGCGCCTTGTGGGCGGCGAAATAGGTCAGGTGTGCTGTGTTACTGTCAGAACGCGATGTTTGAGGGGATTCTTCATGGATATTCGCATTCGGCCTCGGTTGGCGACTCGACGAGGTCAATATATGTCGTTGATAGCCCATCGTCTCTCGCTCCAGTAACAGCATCAGAAAAAAGCTGATTTTACGGGGCATAGACGAATGACCCACAACATTGGGGCGGCGCAACACGCTCCCTTCGTTGGAAAAAGAGAGTGCTCAAACCTCTGTTCCATCGAGTGACCTCATGATCAGCGTTGAATGAAATTCCAGCAAAAGTGATTGCATCACTCGCGGCTCCCACGGCGTCCCGACGGCCCTCCTCGTTGTTCCTTTCGTCCAGCTGCGCAAAAACGATAGCAACAACTCGTCTCGATCGAGTGACCTCGGGGTTCCACGTCACGTGTGGTTACGTAACTCTCTCACGGTATGAGCCCCGCGCGCTACCACTGCGCCATGTTGCTGTATTTTGAGGCTTTTGAAACCCAATATGACCCTCTGAAGTGAAAGAACCACTTGCGAGCTGTGTACCTTCTCAAATTGGATGCAATGCAGGTTCACCTCTGAGCTTAATCTTACCTGCTCCTACACAAAAGCCCCCTTTCACAAATTATCCCTATTTCACTATGGCGGATGTCCCTGATGAAAGCGCTCGCCATAGTGAGCTCGCTGGCCAAGAGACTGAGCCCGCTACCACCAGGGATGTGGATCAGCATCGCGGCGCTGCTATCGAGAACCTCAGACTGAACTATGCATATTTCGACCCATCTGAAGGAATCCCTCCACCCCTCCCCTTGAGCATCCCAAGAGCTCTACTCAATGCTCCTACCGCAGACCTTCGATCGGTTCTCCGAGAAAGGCTGGAAGCAGAAGAGATCACAATCACACTGAGAGAAATGAGGTTTTGGCGAGTATGTTTTCCTAATCTTTTCTTACAATTTTCGCAAACTTTGCTAACGAATATCCTCTGATCTAAAGATGAGGCAGCCGCTTCAGGTAGCACGCGCTCTCGATGATCGCAATGCATGGATTCAAGAAGAAGCCGCTGAAAAGAAATATGAGGCTATCCCTTTCACAGACTCCCTCTTTTCTTCTCTCGGAGAGTTGATTTGGGATGAGAAGCTTCTCCACCTGATTGTAACTGGAGGAGAGGCTCCTTCCATTGTCGAGCCAACAGTCCCTGGCCCCTCCATCTTGACCATGCAGGTACGGGTAATCATAGCTGCCTTTCTCTGTCCATGCTGCCCATCCTTACTTGGTTTCATAGGCTTTGCAAACTATTGCGATGGGAATATACCCTATGGGGTACTGCGCTCCAGAGCCACGACGTGCCAGAGACGTTAGGGAAGGCGATCGCCATAGTAAGGACATACATCTCATCAAAACTTCGTCACCTCCCAGCCACTCTCCTGGAAGCCTACCAACCTTTGGGGCCGGAACACCTACAATTCTCCTAGGTATCAATAACCTGGACGTGGGCTGCCACCATAGTGATGAAATCCGGCTCATTTCCTACGTTTCCGATATTCACCCTGATGGATTTAAAGTCCACTTTGACACATTCGGGGGAACAATGCTTTATAGTGGCCGCCTTTCCTGGATGGCCCTTACTCCTCACCACACTCATTCGGGCGATGCCATACAATGTGGTACAGTAGACTCGCAATCCTACCAATACCCTCGAAAGGTGGGACGCAGATATACCAAAGAGCGAGTGCTTTTCCGCAGGGCTTACGATCGAGCACTCATCATCTTCTCCTGCCTTGCTGGCTTTGGCGTTGGAGGCTCCGCAAGCACCCATTGGGACATCAGGACTTTCGTGACCAATATTGATCGGGAGGGGTTCACCTTACACATCGAGAAGGCTCGCGATTCAGAGCGGGATGTAGATCAAATGATAGCGAGTGCTCAGGCTAGCTGGGTGGCCTTCCCAACGGGAGGAATAGCTGGGATGAAGATGGCCTGTGGGGAGTTCCACATGGGAGAGGGGAAGATGGGGAAAGAGGAAGGCAATTACCGACATATACGGATTCGCGGACATTCGACATTCACTGAAACATTCACGTCCGCACCTAAGGTGTTTGCCGCTCTGAAAAGTCTCGATGTGGACAAGTCGACGACCATAAGGTTGGAATTGAGCATCGAGAACGTAACTCGGGAAGGGATGGATTGGACCATAGCGACATGGTCTGGTACAATTGTTTATAGTGCAACTTTCGCGTACCTCGCTGTGGAAGAGTCTTGATTGTCTTTGCTCATACTGGGTATGAAATGTACTGCGTATAATTGCTCGAATCAAAATCTTTAGTGTTCTGCAGCTGGCTTTTCCGGCCGGAGAGGGAAACACTCAGCGACAGACAAAGCTATTTCGCTAGATCAGGTTGAAGCATTATACCGAGAGTTTCGAGGAATCGCTAATTGTCAAGTCTGTCATTCCGAAAGAAAGAGGTGCTCACCTGGACGACTTTGACCTCAGCTTCAGCGAGGAGGATGGCGCATGCGCGGCCGTTGCCAATGCCATCGGCTCGAGAGTCAGCTCCTGTGACGATTGCAACCTTTCCTGTGAGATTGCGAACAGGGCGTCTTGGGATTGCGAAGGTCGGGTCGGTGGACGGCATGGCTTCAGAAGATGGTTTTTGAGAGCTGTATGCGCCGGATGGTAGGTGGCATTAACCCCCTCTCAACCGATCTACCAAGGTCTTCGACACCAAGACCGACGCATACCACTTCGGCGACCTCCCCGTCGGGCGCACACACAACGTCGTTAGCGCTGCTGCGTCGAACCACATAACCCCGACTTCATTGGCTCGTGGCACAATTACCCATTCTTCAAGAGTGGGCATGTCGTGCTCAACACCTTTGACCGTGGTGCGTTTGTGGTGAAGAAGAGCAAGAAGTTGAATGGGAACCACAGGGCTGAATTTAGATACCCTTAGATATAGCTTGTGCATCTATAGTGTCTTCAATAATCCTTTGGAGGTCAACCTCATCTGCAAACCATATACCTGAGCCAGCAGGTAGTGCCCCTGACTATTGCGAACACAGCCACTGGCCTTCGCCCGGCGCGCGAGCATTGCAATGTTCTCTTCCTTCATTACTGTCAATTGCTGTCTACCCGACGTCCCGAGGTGGATTTCAGCTTCAATTGTACACCTGAAACCAGCCAACAGATGCGAGGATTTGCGTTCGTCCCATTTTAGGCGTTGGGTTCCTCGGTGCAAAGCAGCATATGGGCAGAGATGTCCAAAGCACCTTTCTTGGTCACAAAATGGTCCAATTTCAGGTACGTTGACTAGTTCTTATGACTTTTATGCGTCTCTGAAGGAACTTAGTTAGTGTGCTTCCTTCCCCTCTCTGATTATGTTTCAAGATGCCGAATCCTGGCGAGGTCGTACTGAAACGGCAGACAGTCCCCAGACGATTTCCATGCATAAAAGCTGGCCAATAGTCGTCGAATTTGCCAACTCCTACTCCCTCCTCGCCTTGCAGTGCTTTCAAGGCCCCGAACGCGATGCGGCTCCTTCTCTCTACCGCCCTCCTTGCCATCTCAGCGTCCTCTGCGCTTGCTAAGGAGAAGCCTCGGGACCCAGTGGCTCACCAGCGATATGCGTCGGGAGAGACTATGAACCGCATCATGGCGCACGAGGAGGCCGCTTGGGCTAGCGCTGCTCGAATTGGACTCTTTGATCCGCAAAAGTTCAAGTGCAGCAACAGCTTCACAGCGTGCAAGGATGGGCACATCACGCTAAAGTTCAATGACACGGAACAACAGTTCCAGTGCAAGAACCTTGGCGTTACTGGACACCTTACCCACAAGGATCTTGGGACGGCCATCACCTCTAGGAATATCGGTATGTTTTACTCCAATCCACAGTCTACATAGACTAATACAGCCGTCTCCTAACAGGTAGCTCGATCTGGGGGTACACTGTCGATGGACGCGAGTCGTCGCCGTCGCTCAAGTTGATGGTACCGCTTTCGCCGAAGTCGTAGGGAAGGGATGGTGGAACTACGTGCCCATCGTTGGCAAAGCTGAGGGTACTCTCGACTACCTCGGTCGCCTTCCCCAACAGACTATCCCCAGCGTGTGGCGCGAGATCACAGATTACAAGGGACGGTACGCGATCATTGGGTCTGAGGCCGAAGGCCATGGCATCCAAATCTTTGACATCCGCAAGGTATGTAGACCCGTTCTCGTATCTCTAGACTCTCGAAACAGGGTTCTGATCATTCTTCAACCAGCTCCTCGAGGTTCGCCCGTGGTGGAACCCTCTTTTGACGAAGGTCTTTGATACCATGACAGGCGTTCATCACTTTGGCGGACTCCCCACCGGCCGCACTCACAACATCGTCAGCGCTGCCGCGTCCAACCACATCATCTCCGTTGGTGCCGTCCCTCGTGAAGAGGGTTGCTCTGCCGGCCTCATCTTCATCTTCATCGACCTTACCAACATCACCAAACCCATCCAGTCAGGCTGCGCCCCGCAAGGTGGATACGTTCACGACGCACAATGCCTCATCTACCACGGACCAGACAAGAAGTTCGAGGGACGTGAAATCTGCTACGCCTACAACGAGGACGCTCTGGTCATCTACGATATCACCGACAAGAAAAATGCTACAATCCTCTCGACCACCTCGTACGATGGTGCTGCGTATACACATCAAGGTTGGGTTCTCGATGAAACCAACCAGGACTACCTCCTTCTCGATGATGAATACGACGAGTACGACAGGACTGGCGCGGCTGCAGACCAGCGCGCTACGACCTACATCTGGAATATCTCCTCCCTTGAGGCACCCGTGCTCTCGGGCAACTTCAAGAGCTCCAGCATCGTGATCGATCACAACCAATACATCAAGAACTACTTTTCGTACCAAGCTCAGTACGGAGCTGGCTTGCGTATCCTTGATATCGCTTCCGTCCGCTCTGACCCTACTGGTGGCGGAATCCAGGAAGTCGCGTTCTTGGATGTCTACCCAGAGGACGATCAAAAGGTTGCCGACCCGGACTTCTATGGCTCGTGGCACAACTATCATTACTTCAAGAGCGGGCATATCGTCCTCAATACCTTTGAACGCGGTGCTTTTGTTGCAAAGAGGAGTAAGAAGGTGATTGGTAACTACTGAGCCGAGTTTCGAGTGTAGACCATGCCGAAATACAGTCTATTTGACCCTTTTGCCTATAATCCAGCTCAATCGTCCCCAACTACAAGACGACAGAGAAGGCAGAAAGCAAAGCCTCTGCTGGCAAGACTTGGAGCAAGACAGTCCAAGACAGAGTTTTTGCCTGGATTGGTGGCCGATACGTAGGCTTTAAGAAGTTGGCTTCAAGTTGACTTATCGCCCATTGCTTTCAGCAACGTTGAAGCGCCAAACTCGAACCTTTCAAGTTCGGGGAGCATCATTGGCCCTCCTATGACATCAATCGCAGATAATCAATTAATCAGGCCTAATCAAAGCA